TATAAGTTGCATTTGAATGTGCCAAAATGGCTGTGCCAGCTTAATAAGCATAGGCCGAGAAATTATTAGAATGGGAATACAGAATAATTAGAAAATTTATCGAATTCCAACTTTTTTTTCGTCTATGAGATCTCTATATATTTACTTGGTTATCGATATTCTTTTCTTATTCCCATAACTTTCTTTCATAATTTTTTTTCCTCCTACTTCAGCCATATTAGAAAAGATCGAATAAATCCTCGTTTACTTTGTCCATACACACACATACATACGTATATTCATTTTTAACTTCCTTTTTACTTACCCACAAGATATCATAAGAATATCTCAGAGATTATCTCCGTCTCTAAGATTATAATAAGCCATGATAATTTTACTTCAGATATGATATCTGATTCTGCGTATCATATATCGGATATCTATGCCTCATTTAAAAGCAGATATGTTATATACAACCCAAATAGCAAAAAAAATAATTTTTTTTAAATTTTCGATTAATGAAATTAATTGTTTTTCTGTATTTATTCTCTGTTCTAAAATGATTCTTAAGAGTTCATAAAAAATTCATTTTTATGTCGCCAACTCTGAGTTCTTTAAATATAAAAGAAGTTCTTTTCATAAGAATTCGCAATAAATTCAAAATTATGCTTTGATATTATTCCAATATTTTGCATTTTGCCATCTGTGCACTGTATGATATCTCGGAGGTATCACGGAAAATATTAGAGCCAAGTATTTCACAGGCTCGCCTTTTATGCTAGTGCATAAGAATTTTTGCTTACGAGAAGGTACTGGCGCATGTAGCCGCGTCGCGGCAGTGCATGTTACTAGCGCTCGCCCAAGCGAAAATTTTCTAAGTCCCCTCGCGGCATGTTGCTTTCGCACCGCAGTCGTTACATCCTACACAGCCCCAGCAAAAGTTTTCTAAGTTTCCTCGCGGCGTGTGACTTTCGCCGGGATGAATCGGTACGGCGTTCAAGTTCTCTCGGATTGTTTTATTGGCTACGAATAAACTTGACTCTTTTTAAAATATAAGAGTTAACTATGAATCGACCATATATTTGAATACAAATGTTGCAGAGATGTCTTTTTCAAAGATATAATGTGATACCGAGTAATGATGTCCTGCAGATATTCTAAAAATATCTGAAAATAATATATATATCTCAGATTTGACTAAAAATTGTAGGCATAAAGATATCTGGCTATATCTCAGATATATTTTACTGTGTGGGTATCTTTTAACAAAATTATGTTTATAAATTGTCGAGCGAAATGTTAACGTTTAAAATAAAATCTCTCCTATTAATTACCTTATTCCCTTATTCGATGACTTCCATACTCTGCAGATAACACCTGCGAAATATGTGTGCACGCACGTATACGCGCGCGCGCGCGCACGCACGCACACACCAGAATATATTATAACTTGAATATGAAATTATTAGCATAGATTAACTCCAGTATATATACGCCGCACCTAAAGAAAACTTAATTTATCGAGTACTATTTACATGTTTAAGGCAAATGAATTATACCAATAAAAACTTTATATTGTCAACTAGTATAAAAAAATTATAGAAATATGAAATATTTATTCTTTGTATTTAACAAAAAAGACTTTTAGAAACCCTTGCATTTTTACCATATATCATAGGGATGAGATTAGTCTAAGAGCTGGCTACATAAAAATGCAAGGTATAAGGTACATGAAATATTTATAGCTAGAGAGGTTCCATTAGCACTCCCGAACACTGAGTGACCAGTCTGCCTGCGCGCTTAGGAAGATTAAGGCGGGGTGGACGGTCAAAAATGACAAATTTTATAAGGAAAAAAATGATAAAGCTCAGGGATAAAAATTATAGGAATGTTAAGTATTTGTTGCTACAAAACGCGGAAAATTATTGGCAGACGATTTCGTGGAAGAGAAAGGGGTGGCAGACTGCAACAAAGCGGCGTTAACTTTTGTGAAAAAAAAAATGATAAGGTTCATGATTAAAAATTATTGGTAATAATTACTAAACTGTTAACAAAGCTATGTGCTAAATGGCAGACGAAAAAACTGAAGACAACTTTGGGGCAGACTGTGATGAAGAGCGCGGTCTCGATCGCGCTTAATGAGATAGTTTCGTACTGCGCTACTATGATATGTTATTTTGTTATTTATATGAATATATTACGTGTTTCTTTTTTTTATTAATGGATTCAGTTTGTATTCATTCTTTTATTGTTAAAAATAAAATAATTAATTTATTTATTATATTAAATCTAAATTGTTACTAATTAATCTCATAACATTTTTGATCTGCAGTTGAAAACTATATATAAACATTTTTCTACAAGTTTTAAAATAATATATTGAGGTTTTAATAGATTGAAAGATTCGAAAATTATATTCGAAAATTCAACGCAGGTATAAAAACCGTTTGAAACGGTTCAGAGGAACCAAGCGACCGAGAAACAGCTGTATAGTAGAGGCTGGAGAAAATAGCAATTTCAAGGAAGCTCTTGTCCGTTTTTTAATTGTACCTACATTGGCAGAGTACAGAAATAATACCATTTTTTGGAAATAAAACAGTTTTACTGAACTTCCATCAGTGTTATGAATATAAAGTTGATAATGAGACTGTTTTATTTTCGATAAATGATATCTACACGGTAGAAGCTCATGAAGAAACTGATACAGTTTTTTACGCGTGTAATATTCCGGAAAAAGCTCTCATTATAATAAAATGTTCCGACACGGATATACTTATTATAATGCTAGCCAACATGAATAAGTTAAAAAACAATAGTAAAGTTTGGATTCAAACGGGTATTTTAAACAGACAGCGTATAATTGACGTGTCAGCACTGTATGATAGACACAGCCAATTATTTTGTAAATCTTTAGCAGGGTTTCATGCATTCACTAAATGTGACTTCAATCCAGCTTTCTTTAAAAAGGGTAAACAGCGTCTTTTAAAATTATTACTATTTAGCGAACGATTTCAAAGCGCATTTGCTGACTTGGGCAGTGAAGAATGTGATAGAATGAATGTACTTCGATATTGAAAAATTTGTCTGTTTACTATATGCGATGAAATCACTTGATTCCGTAGATAATGCTCGCTTTGCGCTATTTTTAAAAAATTATAAAGTTAATGACGTCAATGAACCATTAAAAAAAAAAAGCTACAAAATTTTGACGCTTCATCGATACCTCCTTGTGCAGCTGAGTTAAGACCGCAATTCTTAAGATTTATGTATATCGCCAGATTATGGAGCCACGCTCACAAGAAAATTTCGACTTTTTTGGTACCAGAAGACTGCGGATGGGTGATACTCAACTCCAAATACCAGTTCCGATGGTTCGATGGACCTCAGATACCATCTAGTGTTAAAGACGTTGTTATTGATCAAGAACAGTCTGAAGGTACAAATCTTTGCACACGCTTTCAATCTCATATTTGTTAATAGTCATTTTTAATTTTTAATGTCGTTTTTCAGCAGATATCAACGAAATCGAATCTGAGGATGATATCGATTGCGAAAGTGAAGAAGATATGCAATACGATGAATCCAATGCAAACAGCGAAATAGAATAAGTCTACAATTTTTTATAGTATTTTTTTGTTAAAAAAAATTATTCTAATGTTAAACATATCTTTTAACATTTATTATATATATAATATAGAAATTGTTATCTTATTGTTGACATAATATATTTAACAAAATAACATATTATAGTAACGCATCGTACGAAACTACCTCATTAAGCGCGATCGAGACCGCGCTCTTCATCACAGTCTGCCCCGATGTTGTCTTCAGTTTTTTCGTCTGCCATTTAGCACATAGCTTCGCTAATAGTTTAGTAATTATTACCAATAATTTTTAATCGTGAACCTTATCATTTTTTTTTTTCACAAAAGTTAACGCCATTTTGTTGCAGTTTGCCGGCCCTTTCTCTTCCACGAAATTGTTTGCCAATAATTTTCCGCATTTTGTAGCAACAAATACTTAACATTCCTATAATTTTTATCCCTGAGCTTTATCATTTTTTTCCTTATAAAATTTGTCATTTTTGACCGTCCACCCCCGCCTTAATCTTCCTAAGCGCGCAGGCAGACTGGTCACTCAGTGTTCGGGAGTGCTAATGGAACCTCTCTAGCTATAAATATTTCATGTACCTTATACCTTGCATTTTTATGTAGCCAGCTCTCCGTCTATAAGTCGGAAACCCGTTGTATAATATTCGGGGAAAAATCTCATGGACATTGCGACAGACCGGTCCGCTGTTGCAACTGTGATAGACAACATAAGTTCACTTTTAGAGGTTGCCCGATCCATGAGAAAAATAAAAACATAAATATAGTTATGGCGCACAATAACGTATCATTTCACAGGGTTAGGAGGATTGTGGAGGGGAGGGACGCCTCTCAGAAACCTCTGGACAAGTTTAGAAAGCCGACAGTTTGGCCGGAGCCGCCGCAGAGAGTCGAACCACCGGAGGGGGGTACGGAGAGCAGAAGCGGGGAGCGGGAAACTCGGCGCCAGGATGGGGCGAGGGGACCCGATTGCCGTGCGACTACCTTGAGACCAAGAAGTACACCCATGCCGTCAAATGGTGCTAGTAATTATTTTGATCGTTTTGACACTCGCGCCGGCGAGATTACTTGGGAGAGGAGGGGCATTGCCCTGTCTGCTGTGCGGAATGGATCAACGTGGGCTCAGGTCGCCCGGCGCGGGGGGGATTCTGCGGTAAGCAGTGGGGGACCGGACCCCCCTCCCCCCCCGCGACACGGTATATGAGGTTATAAGCAGCGTATTGCAGCTGCTCCAGAGATTCCCGGAAGCAAGGGAGATTTTGATTGAAGCGCTCCTACAGTCGGAGCGGGTCGGCCAGGGAAACGTAGCTCCAGCCTCGATATATGATAGCAACAAAGAAAATAATATAGATAAAAGAGAAATGTACAGTCATAAGGAACCAGGATATTTTTCGAGTAGACGGGGAGGTCTCTTACCTTTCCATTAGCATAATTCAACCTATTACTGTGGAACTGCCGAGGATATATGAGTAGCAGAGATGAGCTCACTAAAAATATTTTGGACTATGACATAGTCGTTCTGACTGAGACCAGATGCTCTGGTCCTAATAAAGTATCCTTCTCCAATTACAATACAGTGAATAGCAAAAATCGCCTGGGCAGCGGAGGCGTGTCGATTTCTGTCCGCAGACACCTGGAATTTGAGATACTCCCTATTGTTGGAACTTTACCTGTGGGATACGACGTCATTTGCGTAAGGACCAAAAACTTTAACCGTAATATAAATATTGTGGCTGTTTACAGGCACCCCCGGGAGGCCATGTTCAGGCGAGATCTCCAACCAGTCTTCCATGCCCTGAAAGACAACGACAACGACTCTATTATTCTGGGTGATGTGAACGCCCACAATATGGCTTGGAATTGCCCGAACACGAGCAAGAATGGTGATCTTCTGTATGAGGTAATGAGCGACGAGGAGTTTATATGTGTCAACACTGATACCATGTCGAGAGTGGGCTCTCGAGGTCAGCGAGATTTAAATCTTGACCTTATGTTTGGCACAAAGGGAATTATTGACAGAGTCTCCTACAGACAGCTGGAAGAGGCATGGGACAGCGACCACGTCCCCATCTCGTTCACGTTTGATGCATATCCAGAGATATACAGAAAGATTACTAACAGACTATCTACCAAGAGGACAGACTGGTCTCGCTTTGGCTCTCTGGTGGAGAAAGAGATTGAGGCCTCCTTGATCTCTCAGGTCGACCTTTTTAAGGCCGACCTGGAGAAATTGTAAGGAACGTCATTGCGGGGTAGTTTCCATTCGGCGTAGGTCGCCCGGTTTTGCGTTGCGCGGCCTCCGAGCTGGCCCCGATATTACTGCGAGCTCTCGCTGAGCGATATGATTGGTCCGTACAATCACGCGACGCGGGGCCCGAGCGCTTTCGGTCCGGGGAGAGCTGAGTTAACGCGGGAATCAGGCACAGTCTCCTGCAAGACACGACCGAGTCAAGTCGATATATCTTCGCGCGTGCGAAAGTCACTGTGTACAGTCGTTCACCAATAAACACCCGTTATAATCACATTTACGAGGTTGATTCACGAGGTATCTTTTATTTCTTTTGCCCTCTTCCTGACATTCCGGCTCTCGAGTCTCTTTCCCGGCAATTACCGTCCTACCTTTCGTTAAGCAAGGTCTTATCCCGGCAAATTACCGTCCTACCCCTCGCTCCCGCGAGTTCCCTGACAAATTCCTTACAAAATATTACAAACTTTTCGTGGATATCCTGAGGAAATCCATAGCTGCTGCGTCAGGTAGAAAAAATACAGATGGAGCACCCTCGACCGTGGACGATCCCGGCAAACGAAAAATCTCACACAAATGGTGGGACATAGAATGCGAAGAGGTTATTCGGAAGAGAAAAGCAGCCTTTACTGCTTGGAAAAGGACCAAGAGCAGTCACGATTGGAACGAATATAAGAGGTCTACAGCGGTTGTTAAACGCACACTTAAATCTAAAAAGAGAGCCAGTTTTGAAAAGTTCTGTGCTGGTATAAACCGTTTTACGAGCTTGGGATACGTGTGGAAGACCATGCGTATCTTAAAAAATGCCAGGAAAAACTTGGAGTGGCACCCTTGGCCGACGAAAAATAGAGAAGATGTAATAAGAACATCCATAGACAACCTGGCCCCTCCTTTCGTGGGAACAGAGCCCGTGATGGATGGCGATCTCGGAGACTTTGACGGAGAATTAAATGCTCCTTTTGTTCGTGCGGAGTTAGATAGAGCCATTGGTATGATCAGGAGAGATTCCTCCCCCGGCCTCGATGGCATGGAATACAGGATGATCAGGCTTCTGCCTGTTACCGCTAAGATTTGCCTCCTCGAGCTCTTCAACGTGGTATGGTCGACTGGATTGATACCGGAGGAATGGCTGGACTACCAGGTCATTTTTATTGATAAGGCGGGTCAAGAGAGGGTGCGTCCCATCTCTCTGTCATCGTGCATTGGTAAGCTCATGGAGAGAATGATTAATGAGAGACTCATTTGGTGGGCCGAAAGAGAAGAAAAGTTTAGCCAATCTCAAAACGGTTTTCGGAGAAGAAAATTCTGTGCGGACAACCTGACTAGGATAGTTTCGGACATTAGGGCATCTGTGTGTGCTGGAGGGTATACCTTGGCGGTTTTTCTCGACGTGTCTACGCATACGATTGCGTCGATTACCGCATCATGATGGATAAGTTAATGGCGCAAGATTGCCCCGCTGGTATTGCCAGGTTCGTGAGTCGCTGGTTATACCGGAGAAAGGTTCGATTTGTCATTAATTCACGCAAATTTTTGAATAAATGGGTTTTTAGTGGGCTCCCGCAGGGCGCTGTTCTTAGTCCGATTTTGTACTCTTTACTCACTCAGGGCCTCTGTGCCTTACCTCTGATATTCCGGAGGGTGTAGAGGCTGTGGAATTTGCGGATAACATAGGCCTGTACGTAAGTGGCCCAAACCGAAACCGAAATAAACTACTTCTACAACAAGCAGTAAATATGGTGGCGGAGCGACTTCGTGAGATTGGTCTCGATCTCGAGCCGAGGAAAACGGTGCTGGTAGAGTTTTCCAGGAGTGGCTTTGTGGATAGAGAGACGAGCATCCGTGTGGGCGATTACGATATACCCAACAGTGGTGGGGCTAAATTCTTCGGTATCTGGCTGGACAACCGCCTGAAATTTGATCGACAGGTACAGGAAGTAAGAGAAAAGGTAAATCGTGCTAACTCTATTATGAAGTATCTCTGTAAGGTGACCAAGGGCATGGAAGTCAACACGGCGCATATGTTGTACAAGAGCTTAGTCAGGTCAATTACTGACTACGGTAATTTTGTATACTTCCCTAGAGATGCTACTCTGCAGGAGAAACTGGAAAGGGCCCAATATCTCGGCATCCGCACAGCCCTGGGATATAAAAACAGTACACCGAATAACGTGATTATCGCTGAGACGAAGGTAAGGCTCCTGAGAGACCGGGCAGCTATGCTGGGCAGAAATTTTATACATAAAGCTATAGCATATAACCAGAATGAACTCTGTGGTAAGCTGCAACGCCTGTTTGATTGCGAGAGTTATGTCCGTTTTCGACAACCGATGTATAGGTTCTCTCTTCTGTCGGACCTCTGGAAGAAAACACGCCCTTTAATGGCGAGTATTGGAACTCCTGGAAAGTTCGAGATATTTAGGGGGACCTTTGGCTCGCACACTTTTGTACCTAGAATAAATTTCTCTGTTGGCCGCGAGAAAAGGGGCGCTGAATTTTCCGATCGAGAATTAATCCGAAGAATTATAGATGAGTATGGTCTGTTTAGGGACCCAGAGATTGTCTCTACGGATGGTTCTTATAACAAAAACGCAAGATCCACGGGTGCCAGTGTAGTCATATGCGATCAAGCTACCGCGTACAAAATTAGCATGCCATATTTATGCTCCTCATATACTGCGGAGGCTTTTGCCGTAAAGTCGGCTCTCCAACTGATGAAACTCCAGAATGGGGATAGAGGCAGAGACATTATTATTTTGTCTGATTGCAAGTCTGTTCTTCAGGCCATTCATATTAACCATCTAAACATCCATAAGAACAAATATATCACAGAGGCCAGGATTCTGATCTACGATTTGGAGACCCTATATGACAAGAATGTTGTACTGACGTGGATTTCCGCCCATGTTGGAATCAGAAGAAATGAAATGGTCGACATACTGGCCAAGGAAGCGGCGGATGAAGAGGCCAACCCCTCGATTGCGGTCCCGGTGGGGGATCTTATGGCCGGAGTTAGGAGGGAGACGTGGGACGCCACGCAGTCATCGATCGTCCACGATTCTGTGCACAAGGACACCTTCTATTTCGAAACATTTTATGATTGTTGGTCGGTGAGACCTTGGTTCCGAGAGGTTAACGCGAGCAGATATTTTGTTACTTTGATCAATAGACTTAGATCTAAGCACTACAATCTGTGAGCTTCTTTGAAGAGAAAAGGTTACGTGGATAGCGCAAGATGCGATTGCGGTTATGAGAGTGAAGATTTACAACACATACTTACCAAATGGCATAAATATGATGAGCAACGAATTAATATGGATATAGAATTAAGAGCTAGGGGATATTTGGAGGAGATTGACATCTGCCATCTCATTAGGACGACAAAGAAATGGGATGTTCTGCATATTATTTACTCGTTTTTGAGGCAAACCGATAAAGTCATTTAACTAGAAACTTATGATATATATTTCGGGCTTAGTTCTAATGTGCTAATAACCCTCTGGGTTAAAAAAGCACCATAATAGTCCTCAACCGAGGACGCTTGAAAAATCCCCCCGTGACGCACTTTAAACAGTTAAATACTTTTAAAGCGCGTCATCTAACCTATGTAGGTTACTGACGCGCTTGAGTTCAGTTCTAGCCGCCATACGAGTCGGACATGTTCTTTGCTTCTGCTCTGCTTAGTCCTTCGATCCTTCCATTTCCTGCTGTGGTGCATATAGAATAGAATAGTCTCGGGTGTTTGAAATCGTCTTTCTCTCGGGGGTCTTTTTGTAATTATTAATTTTTTGTGCTCCCCTCTCGGAGGGGGAGCTTTGATTTTCTGCTTGCCTAACTGCGCGTATATGGCGGGTCCTGTGGACTCGCAGTTGAAGCTCGGTAACCCGCGAGCTGCTGACAACGAGGATCTGGGGACGTCGCACAAGAGGATGAAGACTGACATCTCGAAAGAACTATTTGACACAACGATGAAACAGATTATGGAAAAGGACCATTCGAAAGACCCTGAGTGGCGTACGTTGAGAAGTCGAAAGAATTCGCTAGCAAACAAACAGAGGGACGAGGAACTGAATAAGAGGCGAAATATTTCTCCCTCTCAGAGCGAGAAAATTTCGGGTGACGAGATGGAGGTTGATTCTAATTTAGTTAATAATGAGGACGCCCGGGTATGCGATCTTTTAATAAAACAAGCTGCCCTGGAAGATAATGTTAGAATAATTGACGACTGTGTAACTACACACTTAGATAGTAATTGTGACGGCAATGTACCAGCCGCTCATTCACGTGACGCGCCCGTGATCGCTCTCACGGACGAAGACAGGGAAGTGTATACAATATGTAGCGGCGTTCTGAGAAAATGTTTACAACAACACGTTTGTCCCGTGGTCACAAGATATGACAACAGCTTTCGCGGCAAGGCTAGAATCACAATTAAACTCCCTCCAGACCAAACCTCTGCTAGAAAGGGTAAAAATCTCATTAAAATGTGGATGATTCTGACGGATAATCGGATCTGCCCCACGACAGTGGATATGCTTAACCATTTCTCCGCTGAGACCAAATTTAAAGACTATTGAATGTTAATCTGGCTTTAGGGACTATTAAAAAAATTCCTAATAAATTAAAGGCATTCATGGAGCAAAGATCAATGATAAGTAGAGGAGTCATTTCAGACTGGCCCTCGTCGATTGAAGACCTATGGTCGGTTATACAGAACAAGATATGTTACTTTCAAGGGTGTCGGCACTAGAGATTTGAAGATTTTTGCTAACAATGTTGGTATTAAGGTTAGACACTTCGTTCCGCAGGTTAGACAGTGCTTTAATTGCTACAGGTTTGGCCATACGAAAATCTTATGTAAGAGTGAGACCTGCTGTGTCGTGTGTGGTGATAAGGCACATGGTCAGTGTGACAGGTCGGTCAAATACCGCAATTGTGGGGGCTCACATAAGTCCACTTTCAAGAAATGCCCTGCCTTTGAGAAGAACAAGCAAATCAATATTGTCATGGCTCAAAAAAATATTTTCTTTTACAGCGCTAGACGTATCGTGGAGGGGGGAACCCGTCCCCCCGTAACCTCTTCTATTATGAACCCGGAGTCTTGGCCGAGCTTGCCCACCTCTGGAGGAGCCACTTACGCTGAGATGGCTGGCCCTGTCTGTCTGACTGGGGAGCGTCGTGTGACGGGCGCTGCCCTGACTTGTTCCGAGGAGCCTGCGTCTCCTCGCCACCGATAGGCGGTCTTTAGGCCCAGAAGACCCCGAGAAGCCCCAGATAGAAACATTCAGGACTACTATAAACAGTTTGATTTACGTGCTGGCAAAATTAACAGGGAGCAGCAGGGCATTTTGTTATCATCTGCCCGAAATGGGACCGCTTGGTCACGTGTGGCAAC